ACAACAACAAAAATTTGATATTGGATACCCCCAAGTACAAACAATTTTAATGTCAAGTACAAATTTAATTTTTTTTTTTTTTTTTTTTGTTGAAAAAAATTAAAATTAAAAAAAAAAATGTCAACCTAAATATGGAAATTGGCTTGTTTTTTTTGAAAAAAATATATTTTTTCATTACACACACACACAGACAAAAGTATCATATTATCAAATGTCAAAATGAGAGAAAAGAAAAAACAGAGAAAAAAAAATAACCATTGCATAAACACTATACTATCCAATGGATGATTCATCCAAATGGATTCTATGCTTGCTATTAGAATATAAAAAAAAAGGCAAAACGAAACGAAAAATCTTTACATCATCATTACAATGACGTAATCGGAAAAAAATCAATCAAATTTTTTGTTTTTTTTCTGGTTCTAATTTTAGGTTAGTTAGCCAAAACAACAACAACAACAACAACATACATTAAAAAACACATGATTTTCCAAAACACATGAAACAAGACAAGATTTAGATGATAAAAAAAAACATTTTAAAACATTTCAACGAATGAATGAACATGACATTTGATTTGATTTGCAAAAAAAAAGTGGATTTCGAAATTCCAAATCATCATCATACAGCATGCATATATTACTAACCTGTGAGCTAACTGTTATATTTGAAAAATGAATCTGTAACCCCGGGCCATTACAACAACAACAACAACATCTACCAAAACACCAACAATACCAACACCAACAAAAATCCAAACAGAAAATAGACATTGTGTTTAACGATGATGAAAATAACAGGGGAAAAATAAAAATAAAAAAATTTGTAAAAAAATAAAAATTTCAATTTTTTTAAAACAAAACAAAAATTCAATCATCATCTGCGTGTATAATGATTATCAACCTTTTTTTTGATGTCATCCTTTAGGTAAAAATAGCAGAGAAACTATTATAACCTAAAGTGACTGAAAAAAATTATCATTTTCTTTGTTTAACACTTCATTCGCATGAATATAAATCGATCAAACACAGAAAGAGTGTAAAAAACAAATAAAATAAAGTTTCAACATACATTATGAATTGTTTTATTTGGTTGACAATAAAGATAACTACCGGCAAATAGATGCATTGATAATGGATTTTGATTTTGATTTTTAATTACAAAAACAAAAATTTACTTTGATTTTAATTACAACACACACACACACACACACATTTAACATTTGATAATTAGAAAACATTGAAAAATCATCATTGTGTTTCATTTTTGAAAATTGCGATGAATTTTTTTTTCTTGTTTAAACATCATAGTCGTCGTCGTCGTCATCATCATCATCGACAATGATGATCATCATAATGTGAACAGAAGATATTATTTAGAAAAAAAAACTACGTTTCTTTCACACATCATATGCCATATGATGATGATGATGATATTGTATTTCTCTCTCTTTCTCTATCAAAACATCCAAACAAATCAAATTTGTCGAATTTGAAGAAGAACAAAAAACCAACAACCATCAATAGAGAGAGAGAGAGAGACAGAGAAGCAGACACAATCAACGCATGATTATTATTATTATTATTATGTGGTGCATATCCAAGAAGAAGAAAAAAAAACCACAAAGTANATATCATCATCATCATCATCGTTATTTAGATAAATTATTTTTTTTTGTGTGATGAAAATGAAGAAGAAAAAAACGAAATAAAGAAAAAAACATCAACAGACGCAACAGAAAAAGAAGAGCACATCATTTCTTAATATCTTTTCCATCATCCAATATATATGTAAATAATATTTTCAAAACATGATTTGTTTTGGAATGTTATTGATTGATTACATGTCCTAAATACCATCGTTTGGATGTTTTGTTAATCAACTAATGAATGTTGTAGCCTAATGAATGTAATTAACTGATTTAAATCTAGTATATAAAGCCTTCCTAAATTATCATTCAATCATCGAGTATTTTGGAGATCTATGATCTTCATATGCTTGGTCAATAAAATATTTTATTCTAAATTAAATCCCGTTTTATCATTACAACGCCAAAGCTGCACACACAACATTCGAACACGTAA